CACAATTCATGTATCTGTAGAAGAACCTGCAGCAGTACTACTATTCTTCTCTTTTGCTTTCATAGAAGTAGATAGACACCATTTGTACGGAGAGAAATTTCTCTTATCAATGGTAAAAAACGTTAGGCTATCGATTTTCTAAAACCTACAAACTGAACCTCCCTTGATCAGAATTTGACTGTAAATCTTTTTCTGAGTGACTTGGACTAATAAGAAATACCTAAAATAAAAGTCGTCTCCTCCATTACGACATCCCTCCTTGGCAATTCATGAATGTACATAAATGCACTCAAATGTACACCAGTTAACGTAAATGATTATAGTAAGTTATATCAGAAGCATCTTATATACTTAAAGACCAAAAGATGGTCTTATTAGGATATACGGTTTAACATATTTCTAGAACATTAAGCTTCAATGATGTTAATTGACCACAAATCTATGCGACAAGGAAGTCCAAGATATTATGGCACATACAGATGATTAAAGAAACAAATTCAAGTAAACACCCTTAATATAGGATAACCAACACACGATCAGACAAGTGACATGAGCATATAATAACCCCAGAAAAGTAAGCCCTCAACAAAGGAAAATGAGAAAGAATATGAAACTAAAAATAGAGTAGGTTCCACCGTACCAGGAGGAGCATGTATAGGAGCAGCAATCTGCTGAGGGCCTTGAGGAACATTTCTCGCTGCAGCCGAATCATCACGAGACATAGGTGACACATCTAACTTCCCAAGAACCTTGCTTGATTTTGCCCTAATAGCATATCGCCTATTTTGGAACCAATTCCAAACCTATAAATATATGAAGATTGCAAATTAGAAATAAAGTTAAAATGTTTTTTCATATCAATTTCAAACCCTATAAAGCTGGTTCGAAAGTACAAGCAGAATAAATGAGATTCCTTTACAGAAAAATGGAAAAAATTTCATACTTGTTTCATTTGTACTGTAATCTTGCCCTTCCGCTCTGGTGATTCACTACACCAAAGAAAAATGTCTCATATTTTTTTAAGCTTAGAAGAACATAATCTATTCAAATTCTGAAACAAGGCACACCTGAACTTATCTGCAAGGGCCATAAGCACTTCACGTGATGGCATTGTGTTATTGTATTGTTGCAGAATAGCTTCCATCTCCGTAACCTAATTATGACCAATTCGTACATGCTGTCATTAAGGTTTAAAATAGCAACTACCTTAAAGAAAAATTATTCAGTAATCATCCATAATAATCCTCTGAAGAATGGTTTTTGTGTGGGAAGAAAAAGAGAAAAAATAACAATGTACCACAACCCACTAGGTATTATATGCAATTACCCAACAGCTCCTGATAAGTGTGCACTGCAACCAATAACCCACTGGGAGGAAGTTCGTTTCTTTAATCTCCATGTTTGCTTTTCAATTTTTTAATTTGTTGCCTTAACTTTCAGCAACAAGCTTTACTACAAGACTAAGATCAAGCACCAGTGCACCACCATTTTAAAAAATTAAATCCAGTATGAAACATGAAAAAGGGTACAAAGTCTTTGACTTCATTTGGCGGTTCAAGTCGTTTATTGTGCATTCCATATTAGTTCCATTTAATTTATAAACATGTCCTGCAAAGCATTCAGATTCACTTTCATGCACTCACAATATAATTTTGTTTCTTTATATGTTTTTATATTTCTCATTATTCCATCTTAGATGCATTCATTCTATTTTCGTTGGCATTATTCTTTCTTTCAATATAGCACGAAAAAAGTTCTACACAAAACACGTAAAAAGTCACTAATAAGACGCGCGCAGCGTGCATAGAAAAAGACAATAAAGAAAGCCTTCGAACACATGGACAAAGACATTAAAGGAAGCTTTTTGCGCACTGGAGCACGTACATGGAGGCTAGTAGTTAAAAATGTCAGAATCCAATCATATATGCATATGGAATATGGATATGCAATATGCGTATATAAGAGGTAGGACCAGTTAAAAAGTGAAAATTTCCTTCGTGGAACTTCTCCATTTCTTATGAATAATTACTTGTATACCTACATTGCTTATGTTGTGATTCCATCAACTGATTTTAAAGTATTTAAACATTTGATTGTGTGGAGGAAAAATATGATTATCTGTTCAACAGAATTGACATCCAAGGACAATTTTATGCAAATATGGATGCATTTTAAGTTTTTAACTAATACAGAGCTCTCATTAGGGTAAATTAACAACCAATAACGGGTCTACAATCCAAACTGGACTTTATGGTCCTACCATGCACATACCATTACCAGATTCCAATTTGATATTGAGAAGAGAGCTAAATGTTAGAAATAAAAAAAGGTACAAAAGGTTTATTTCAGATGTACTCTAAATGTTCAATCCCAAACCCCTCAAATGCAAAGGCGATCATCAAGGGGTGCTTTCAGTTTCCACCTGTGCTTTTAGTGAAACAGCAATAAAGTCGTGAAAAGATGCAGGATTTCAGAAGCCAGGCCTATTCCATTTTACATACTTTTGTTAAGTATCTATACCACGGGGAATGCGCACAGAAAGAGCCCGCCAAATCCAACAACAAACTGACTACACAAAGGCATTATTTACAACAGACCAGCAAGACAAACCATCCGATCCATATGAATTACACCACGAAAAGCTTATCAAACAGAGTTTTAACAACATTTTCAAGAAACAGAAGATCGATCAACGGAATTCTAAACATTCAAAAATTTTAAATTTTTTCAAGAAAAAACTGTGGTACCATCACAAAAAAAAACCTAAACAGGAATCAAAAGCACAACCCAAAAGCTCGGGGAAAAAACCCCTGAAATCTAACAGACCCATTTAAGAATCACGACTCTGAGTTCGAAATTTGACATTTTCTACTTACACATACAAAATTTCGAAACCCCCACTTTCCAAAATCCAACTCCAATACAAAATTCAGCACACGCGCAAACATGAGAATAAAAAACCTACGAAAACCCAACAAGAACTCCACCTCTAATTTCGAAATGTAGCAGATTCCCAAACACAAACAACAATCCTAATCAACAAAATCGTCAAAAGATGAACAAAATTGAAGAACAAGAGGAAGAAGAAGGAGAAGAGAAGGTACCTCGGACTGGACGAAGCGGAAGGCAGGGCCTCCGTTGCTCGGAGGCCGACCCATAGCAGCTCTCTCTACGCCTGGAACTCCAACGAGCAAAGGAGAAACTTCAATTGATATGTTTATTTTGTGCAGAAGAAGCAAAAGGGAAGTTGGAGACGAGGACAGGAGAGGTGGGTTTTCGAAAAGTGCGTTATGTGAGTGTGAGGGAACAGACAAATCGCAACAATTTATACTCGCAAATTCTGGGAAAGGAAACAAACGTTACCACCGAAATTTAGAGAGAGAGAGAGAGAGAGCAGGTGGGTTTTTGGTTTGGGATGTGCTTTTGGGATTTGGATCCTCTCCGACGCAATTGGTCGGATCCTTTTGATCGGTGTTTGTGGGCTGTTAGATTTTTATCCAACGGCTACAATTATTATAACTTTTAGAGAGCTCCATGTTTGTAGCCGTTGGATAAAAATTCAATGACCCACAGACATCGGTCAGGAGAATCCCGACCAATTGCCTCGGAGAGGATCCAAATCCGTGCTTTTGAAGCCCAAATAAAACCAAAATTTGGGGGCAAGGCTTTTAGCTTTTTAACTAGTTTTGGGATGTCATTTTCATGTTGCTACATACGAGTCCTTTAAGCGTTAGATTTAACTTCATAATTATTAAATTTTTTATTTTAATCTTAGTCGTTCATTTTTTATCATGAAGATGTACTTTCATGGGAGAAAAATTGCTACTTTTGCAAAAAACCAATAAGCCAAAATGTGTCTTTTACAATTTTACAATTTTTACCTTTTATTTCTAGATATCCTTGTATTTAGAAATCTATTCAAAATGGACCCTTATGGTAAGGATCCCATCCTTAGGATTACTTTCTTTAAAAGGCAGTAAAAGAAAGAAATGGAAGAAAAACGAACTCTAATATTTGTGTATAAAATCCACTATTCTAAAAATCATTGCCTAGTACCACCTAGACGCTAGGTGGCTGGCTACCGCCCCAATTAATGAAAGGCGTTTAAAAATTAAAAAACGACGCCTAGATCTGCTGAGGCGGCCGTCTAACCTGCCCAGACCTGCCTAGACACCCGCCTAGGCCGCAACTTATTTAGACAGAAAATAGATAACTTCCATTTTACATTTATTTTTTTCCAATAAATTGTAAGATACTTGTTGCATACTTAAATGAACACACATTATATCCTTATTTCACATGTTTTCTTTGTGTTCCAATACTTCATAATATATATGCATTCTATTTTGTAATTTATGATGAAATTATATATTTTTTAAGTATATGCATACGCTTATTTACATGAAATATGATATATTTACTTAAATCTGCCTAATCTGCCTAAGCGCCTAGATGCTAGATCCCAACCCGTCGCCCGACTAACGACTAATGCCTAACGTCTTTTAGAACCTTAATAAAATCAAATAGGATGGTGCTATTCACATACCAATTTTACCTTCTACACGCCCTATGTTAATTCCGTTGATTCTTTGCACTCCATACAACTCAATGGTGGAAATTAAAAGGAGTATAAAAGATATAAAAAAAAAAAAAAAAACATGAATAGCGCCACCCATGAAACATATAAGGGAGTATCATTAGTTTCTTATCTAAAACCGTACTATTTACAATTCCGTTTAGCGGTTCGATGAACTGGTGAACCAAACCGGACCATATCAAAAACGTCGATTATATTAAACCTAACCGGACCAATACTTCATACCCCCATTCCTTAAAAAGTAAACATGGCCTTAGAAGAATACATGGGAGGTAAGCAATCACACTGGCAAGCCACGCACAGCAGCGTGAAATTACCAGACAGATAAGTGACTAATCATCCACATCAACCCTTACCGGAAAAGCACAAACACTAGCTGAAAGAACCACCACCAACAGGTAAATTGAAGCAAACGGACAGCAACGCGATATCTTATTTATTCCATTATCGCATAACGTTAAGGTTATGTTACAGTACATGTATTTATATATGCTCACTCAATAAACAGCACGAATAAGGTTCGTTAGTACTTAATTGGACACAAGGGCACAGAACCTTCCAGCGCTCTCTTTCCTTTACAATACGACTGAACTTTCCACCTAAGCTCCGTCATCATCGACAGTGTTCACCCTCTCACATTCATCTATCCATTCGCTGTATCTGTAATCGAAAATTTTATGGTCAAAGAACACAGGTAAAGGAAAAGAGAAACTATGTTTTAATAAACCCACCAGCCGGAAAATAATAAGAGCATATTCATATGAACTTCTACTTACATGTCTATTGGTTCAGTCAAAGCTGAAAAAAAACAAACAAAAAATATATCAATAATTACGAATACATATGGATGTGGCAGTCCCTATATGAAAAACAAGAGAAGTATCTAAACAAAGTAGCGAGTTAATACCAAATCCACCACTTTTTCCTACAACCTAGAGGAAGTTCCTATCCAGTTTACCAATTTGAGGTTGATAGACATTCGAAACAAAAATTTTAATCAAGTTATCCACAAATTTCCTAATGCCGTCCTTTTTCTGTCCATATACCATTACAATCCATACCTTGTGATCAAAATATTCACAAGTCTGTTCAGAAACATATTTCCATTTTGAATGATTTACCTAAACCTCCCTACATCTCCTACATCTGAGATTTATGTGTAATAATGATCTCTCCATCCTGTTATACTAACACTACGCCTCAATAGTAAATTAAGACGAGAGTAAAGTATTTGACATACCTGTGACGGTTGTGCTGAAATTCTCTTGGCAAATGCAACAGATAGCCTCGCCAATCAAGTTTTTCATGTCACTGAAACCAAATAACTTACTTAATTTCAATTCAAGACAAAATGAGAGAAAAATACATGTGCAAGTACACTACCCAATCAGATGCTAGATTGTAAATGAAATTCAAAACTGGAAAAGGAAATGAAATACAGTGACCCATTATCCCCAACAGCAAAGACCAATTTCTCGCACCATATATGACAGACCACAATTCTCATATGTAAGTGACAAAACCACATTCATCAGCAGTACCATAGAACATACAAGAACCAGCGGAACTCAATGCTTCCTAAAAAGTTATATACACCAAAACATGAGCAAAAAACAGATTAAATAAAAACTTACATGCGACACTCAACGCTGCTCCCATGGTTGCAGAAAGGGCAACAGAAAACTGTATCCAGCTTGTCCGTTCGCTTCCTAGCTGCAGGCTTTGCCTTGGCCTTTCTCTTGCCCATTTCTCAAAAAAAATTCTGTCCTGTTGTTATAATTTAACCCGTCAGTTCGCATACAAGATGCTAACAAAAACATACAGCCACCAGTTCACCTGAGCTCCCCACAGAGATAGATGGTGCAATCCCTACCATCATTTTAGAGAATATGATCCAATCAACAATTACATAAACCCTTTGTGTGCAGCGGAGTGCCGAGTGCGCATAGAGAGGTTTTAAACTATTTCGTGTAAAAAAATTATCGCAATACTGCGAAATTCAAATGCATGAAAAGTACAAGGAGAAAGCGACTACGGGGTTTCCGACGACATTAATCCCTAAAAACCATTGGAATTGAAAGAAAAGTGTTTGTTGTTAATTGTATCAAGAACGAAATTTTACAGCAGAAAACATGCTACCCAAATTCCAAATTTCACAATATATGAAATAGAAAAGAAAAATTCTAAAAGGGGGCCAAAAACCCTAGAAAAATTACAGTGAAAGAAACAAAATTGAAGTCAGAAAAAGGGAAATTAAGAAACGATGAAGGAAGAAAGAAGACCTCAAATTTGACAGCAGCTTAGAATTATGTGAGAATTGAAGTAAATAAACCCTAAAATTACGAATCCTAGATCGGAGATTGAGGAGGGAGAAGGAAAGATCGTACCTGGGAGTGAGAAGGCGCGCTGCTGAATCGTATGATTGGTCTACAAAACACGCTATATTTCCTGCGGGGGAAGACAAGGGCGGTCTCTACTCTCTATTTATAGGCAAACGTTGCGGTTTTGCCACGTAAGAAATATTTTTCAATTTTAAAGAGCTAAAAGTCAAATATGTGTCTCAGATAACTTGCGCGAAACCGGTTTCACCGCCTCGTGAAGTTTTGAACTAATAATGCATTGTTATGTGCCAATTTTTATGGAAGTATGAGATGTTATGATAACAATAAACTCACTTCGTGTAAATTATTTATTGTGGAACTAAATCATTTTACATGTATTAATAAACACTACTAAAATTTAAAAACAGATAGTGTCTTGGAAGAAAATTTATTGCGGAACTAAATCATTTATTTTCGGTTGAAGTGGTTTGAACATATGAAACAAAGATATACAGACGTTTTGGTTATAAGATATGATTACGAGACAAATGCTTAGGGCCAAAGGGGTAGATAATGACATTGGAAGACTCGAAAAGAGACTCTAAGAAAATACTTGGACTACTTGGATCTTACAAAAGACATGGCACAAAACCGAGCGCAGTGACGTTTTATAATTCATATAGCTGACCCTACTTAGTAGAATAAGGCTTTGTTGTTATTGTGAAAGTTTGTACATTTTAATAACTTTCTCATGTTGCACTACGTGACTGGTGATACCACTAAAGGATCAAGTAAAATTAGTTAGATGTTTGTTAAAGTTTGTTAGGTTTCTTATGTAAATAGACAGATTAGACAAGGGTATAATTGTAATTGTAAGGGCAGTATATTGTCTATATATACACTGTCATACCATTGTAACTTTTAACAAAGAATTAATATAAGAGAGATATTTAGAAACTGTGAATTCTACATGGTACCATCGCCAATCGCCTCACGGCTTCTTCGATCCTGCCATTTTCTTCTGCTCCTCTCTGATCTTCTTCTCCGGTGACATTGATTGTGTTGTTCTTCTACTCCGATTCAGGTTCTCGACTTCTTTTTCTTGAATCTTAATGGCGTCTCCCTCTGCATCCTCATCTCCAATTGAGTCGGTGCCTCCTCCTAACCCTAATTCTTCAAACCCTAATTCTTCTTCCCCAAATCTCAATTCCTCTCAAATGTATAATTCTCTCACGATCCAGAACATTGGCAGCATGGTTCCGATCAAGCTCCGGCGATCCAATTATCTGCCATGGCGTGCTTTGTTTGCTCCGATTCTTCGTCGCTACAAGCTCCTTGGGATTGTTGATGGCACTGAGCCTTGTCCATCTCCCTTTCTTCCTGATCGCTCTCTTAATCCTGCTTTTGAGCAATGGTATGAGAAAGATCAGAATCTGCTGATCTGGTTCAATTCAACGCTCTCTGAGGAAATCATTCCGTTCACAGTCGGTGTCTCTTCCGCTCGTGATCTCTGGCTCAAACTTGAGCAGCGTTTTGGTGGTGTCTCGGATGCACACATTCATCAATTGCGTTCGAAGCTTCAAAATATTCAGAAAGGTTCTCAGTCCATGTCTGACTATCTTCAACAAATCAAGGAGATCTCCGATTCTCTCACTGCTGCTGGTGTATCTCTCATTGATCGTGATCTCATTGCTGCAACTCTTGCTGGTCTCTCTGATGATTTTGAATCGTTTACTGATTCTATCTTACTTCGCCTTTCGTCTACTTCTTTGGATGAATTACATGGCATGTTGCTCACTAAGGAGTTATCCATGGAGCGTCGTAAGAAAATCTCTTCCTCTGAGCCTTTTCATGCCTTCTCTGTGCAAGGCCAACCGCCTCTACTTCCCACACCATCACAAGCTCTTGCTGCTCAGACTCCTGGAGCATCACCACTTCAGAATTCTTTTCGGTATAATTCTAACCGAAACTACAATCGTGGTTCCAATCGAGGCTACACCCGTGGTTCCAATCGAGGCTCCAATCGTGGTTTTAATCGTAGCAACTCCAACTCTGGTTTCTCTCGTGGTTCTTATAATTCTGGATTCAACCGTCATGCCTCTCCTTCAGGTCACAAAACTCCCTGTCAAATTTGTGGTTCTACTAGCCATGAAGCTCTTGATTGCTTCGACAGAATGAATCCAGAAATCTCAGGCAAGTTTCCCCCAGCTAAACTTGCTGCCATGTGTGCTCATTACACTGCGAAGTCCTCCAATTCTTGGCTCATAGATTCGGGTGCTACCTCTCACATTACAAATGATATCTCCAATATTCAATCTCCAACTCCCTACCATAGTGAAGATAAGGTGTACATCGGAGATGGTAAAGGTCTGTCTATTGCTCACACTGGCACATCTACTTTGCATACTCCTACTTCTTCTTTTCAATTACACAATGTTCTTCATGTGCCTCATATGAAACACAGTCTACTCTCTACCTATCAGTTTATCAAAGATAATGATTGTTCATTGACTCTTGATATTCATGGATCCTCTGTCAAGGATCGTTTTACGGGGAGGACGCTTTTGCGGGGCCCAGTTAGAGGTGGATTCTTTCCTCTTCAAGGCTCTTCTTCCTCCAACACTCATACCTCTCCTACTGCACTAGTAAGTAGCTCTACTAATGTTCGCATTTGGCACAGCAGACTTGGTCACCCCTCTTCTGTTATCTTTCGGAAAGTTCTGTCTACGAATAAAGTTGATGTCCAAGGCAGATCGTCTCTAGACTTCTTTTGCAAAGACTGTGCTTTGGCAAAGAATCACAAGCTTCCCTTTGGCACTACTCCATCTGCATCTTCGACCAGTCTTGAATTGTTGCATTGATGTCTGGGGGCCGTCTCCTGTTGTATCTGTCAGTGGCTATAGATATTACTTGCTTATTGTTGATGATTACAGCAAGTATAGTTGGTATTTTCCCTTAAAGTCTAAGTCTTCTGTATTTTCAACCTTTGTGGAGTTCAAATCCTATGTAGAGAACACTATTGGTAATAAAATCAAGGTTGTTCGATCTGATTCAGGGGGTGAGTTTACAAGTCATCAGTTTCAGCATTTTCTTAAACTTCATGGCATTTTCCAACAATTTAGTTGCCCTCATACTCCTGAGCAAAATGGATGCGTTGAAAGGAAACATCGCCATTTGGTTGAAACTGCTCGTACACTCTTAGTGCAATCTCAAGTGCCTCATATGTTTTGGGTTGAAGCTTTTTCTACTGCTATCTATCTCATTAATCGCCTTTCACTTGGTGGTCTACTGCAATCTCCTTGGGAACTCCTCTTCTTCACTTCTCCAGATTATTCTCGCCTTCGAGTTTTTGGCTGTGGTTGTTATCCCTGGCTCAAACCCTATACGACATCCAAGCTGGATAGTAAGAGTAAATCCTGTGTATTTCTTGGGTACAGTCTTCAGCACAAGGGGTATCGTTGTCTTGATCCACTTACCCAACGTGTTTATATCTCTCGGCATGTACTATTTGATGAGACCACTTTTCCATTCCATACTCTATCCTCTGCCATTGTTCTTCCCCCTCCTTCCTTTGCTGATACTTCTCAAGTAAATCCTTATGTCAACCTGCAATTTCCTATCTCTGCTCCTTCTTCCCCTGCTTCTTTAAGTCCATCACCTGCTCCTTTGAGTTCATCACCTGATCCTTTGATCAATCCCTCCAGCACACATTCTCCTATACCTCCACTGCATTCTCCAGTGCATCCCTCTTCAGTCCCCTTATCTTCACTCTTCCCTCCTCCCACTAATATCCATCCTATGATCACACGATCTAAAGCTGGTATCTCTAAACCCAAAGCCTACTCAGCCACCAACCATCCTTTACCCGACACTGTTGATGTTATTCCCTCTACTTATCTTCAGGCCTCCAAACATGCCCATTGGAGATCTGCTATGCAGGATGAGTACAATGCCCTGCAGTCCACAGGCACTTGGTCTCTCGTTCCGTTTCAATCTCATCAGAATATTGTTGGCTGTAAGTGGGTGTTTCGGGTTAAGAAACATCCGAATGGCACTATAGATCGATACAAAGCTAGGCTTGTGGCCAAAGGCTTTCATCAGCAAGCTGGTTTGGATTACAAGGAAACGTTCAGTCCAGTTGCCAAACCAGTCACCATTCGCATTCTTCTATCTCTTGCAGTTCAACATGATTGGTTTCTCAACCAATTGGATATCAGTAATGCTTTTCTGCACGGAGATCTTCAAGAAGATGTCTATATGCAGCAACCCCCCGGTTTCAATGATCCCAATTATCCTCATCATGTCTGCAAACTTCGAAAATCCTTGTATAGATTGAAGCAAGCTCCTCGGGCCTGGTTTGACAAACTCTTTGTAGTTCTGAAGTCCTTGGGTTTCCATCAATCACAATCTGATGCTTCCCTGTTTGTGATTCAAACACCTGTCCCTATTTTTGTCTTGGTGTATGTCGATGACATTCTTGTCACCGGTCCAAATCCTACTGCTTGTCACAGTTTCATTCAGAAACTCAGTACTATTTTTCCTGTGAAGGACTTAGGCCCCTTGCATTATTTTTTGGGTCTTGAGGTTCAACGATCCTCTGCTAGTCTTTTCCTACATCAAAGCAAGTATATCCTTGACCTGCTTCACAAGACAAACATGGCTGGTGCAAAACCCTATCTTACACCTCTTGGGTCAGTCCCCCTTGATCACACAGGTTCCTTGTTACCTAATCCACACGAGTACAGATCCATTGTAGGTGCCTTGCAATACTTAACTTGGACACGACCTGATTTATCTTTTGCTGTAAATCAGGTCTGTCAATTTATGCATGCTCCCCGTGAACCACATCTTCAAGCAGCCAAACGCATTCTCAGATTTCTGAAAGCCACTGTCAGTCATGGTTTGTGGTTCAAGAAAGGTGATATTCATCTTACTGCCTATTCGGATGCTGATTGGGCCGGCTGTCTGTTTGATCGACGCTCTACTAGTGGTTATTGTATATTTCTAGGATCCAATCTTATCAGCTGGAGTGCTAAGAAGCAACCAACAGTTGCTCGTTCCTCCACTGAAGCCGAATACAGGTCGTTAGCCCACACAGCAGCTGAAATCACATGGATTTGTAAAGTGTTCAAGGATCTTGGTTTTCACCTTCCTCATGTTCCTTCTCTCTGGTGTGACAACC